TTAGGGAAGTTGATTTACTTAGGTAAATTAAGTAGGAGGAAAATTGTATTAGGCTTGAGTAACCTACAGAGAGGGATGGAGCATACGGTGGAAGGCTATGGATGGGTTCCACAGAAAGGGCTCCACTTCCACAAGCGCTGCCACTAGTTCCGCCCACAGAGGAAATGGATAAGTCCATCAGCGGTGGAGGTGGTGGTGGTGGTGGTGGAGGCGATTCGCATGATTTGGCAATGTTGTCGCCATCTGAGATGGACGATAAAAGGGGGTAGTTAGACGAAGCAGCAGTTTTGTAATTGTTTAAAAGGCTACAACCCTTGGGGAAGGCGGAAATGAGTATTTAATCGCATGTTTTAAAATTGTTTGGAACCGCTTAGTAAACGTAGCAATCCTAAGGAAATGTAATCTCTAAAACCAGGTGTCCCGAAATTAAGGTAAATTTCCCTTTTTGGTAATGTGGATGATAGATATAAGGGGTCTGTTTTCAAACATACAATTTAGAAAGTACAAGTTTAAGTCCTAAAACTTTGATACATTGAAACAATAACAACCGAGCAAGTCAGTTTACACGGCACCTTAAAGGTAGGTAGGTCTAAATGCATTATGAACGATTTTTGTTTATGAAAAAACAACATGGGAGCTTAGTTTTACGCGAACTAAATCAATTCTGTCCACAACAGCACCACAAGTGTGTGACGCACGACCAACCTTATTGGTGAGAAATACGACTGAGGTACCTGCGCATAGTCAAACACTCGCGTGCTGCTTGATAATAGTAATCGTGAGTACGTTTATTCAAAAAAAAAACAAAGAAAACGAGTTCTGTATGCGACAAGTAATAATGCGAGCCAGGTTGAAATCTACGCTGAAGCCAAAGTCGCAAACCTCCCCATCCACAAAATGCTTATGAACAAATTCCCATCCTATTATAAAAAATATCATGGTACAAAAACAAGAGCCTTCAAATCCATCAAAATACTGTGCTGTCAGAAGAAATAGCATATTCGCACATGGTGTATTCTGCCATGAGAATGGTTCACGGAAGACACAGGTCAACGAGGACTTTATTCCGACGTGAAGAGCAATAACCAAGTGAGAGGTGTTAAATAAACAATTTTATGGCTTAAGGAGTCCAACTTAAAGCGTAGAAAGTGCTTACCAGCCATAAGGGCGAGACAGATGTGGACAACATCCTTTACGGGCATGCCAAGATTGTCCGTTCATACAAAAAGACAGCTTTGTTGACAAACTGAGTTTACATTTAGAGTCCCTGAAACCCAAGTTTTCGAAGGAGATCAAAGTAACAAACAAGTACTTGGCTGGGCTAAGCAACAAGAAGGTCAGAGATGGATGAACATTTCATTAGGTATACCGTAGGCATAACACTAACTCAAGATAAGCAAAATGGGTAAGAAACTTCCTTGACAAATGTAGAAGATTTATACAACGGGTAAACCCGTAGGAGCTAAGTAACGTAAGTAGGTAATCACAAGAATCCACCAATCCAACAACAGCAAGGTCAAAGGACCGGTACTACCAGTGGTGCAACTGACAACGGAGCGGAAATAACAGCTTTCAAATTGAAAAGATGAATGCACAAAAAGATCCAAAACTGTTGCGAAAAATGGAATAGTGATAATGAAGTGAGTGAAGGTTATAAGATAAAGAAAAAAAGACTTCAACCGGAACAGTGGTAAGAATAAAGTAACTTTCGTCCAAAAGCAATTTAAATCCATTGCAAGTCGCAAGGCATCGTCTTCGTATCCAAAAGTCCAGACCGTCAACAGTGAAATGGCTCGCAGCTAGTTATCATATGATAAGTGGCATTCAAAAAGAAGCGTTACCCATTTATTGACAAAGCGATTCATCAGCATTCCAGCGCCAAGACCAGCCAGAATGGATTGCAACATAAAAGACTCAATGCCTAGAGCCTTGAGACCAAAAATGCATCAAGACACCAGATTTACAATGAAAACAAGATGAAGTAGCCGTCCCAGTGCGAAGAATAATAGCCTCTGAGAGTAGTAATAAATTTGAACGAGTTCAAAAGTACGATGTAGCTACGTCTGTAGGCGAAAGGGATAATTTCATTTTGGTAATCGTTCCTCATGCATAGGACCTCAATAAGTATGCTTTAAGATGGCAATAGAGTAGCCGAATTTACATTTAATGACCTAATAAATCTCCTTAGTCTCAGCTGAACATTAATTTCCAACGAGCTAATGTTTATTTCCAACATTAAACTTTGCGATTATTATGCAATGGGGTACTTATAATCTCTTTCCACTTCCCCTCAAGCACAAAAGACCTAACCCTCACCGCCACCGCTTCTCTCAGTTTAATTTAGAAACAGCCTATTCCACTTGAAGTACTGATGCCCAATTCCAATGCCAGAATAGTGCTGTGGCTTAGATAAATAGCATAAACAAGAAGGCGTCCAAACCTCCAGTCGGGTAAGTTTAGCGCTGTGAAACAATGAAGACTTTTGATGCCTTTAGCGCCCGTTGAAGTCCAAGCTGTAAAATGCCAAGTTGATAGTCCTCAACCATAACTGTTGCATGACTCTCAAGAATCAAATACCCCAAGGCAAAGAATTCTGTCTTCGACCTATCACACATACGGTGAAAGTAGATACACCAGAAGGATGGAGTGAGAAATAAGAGATTTGGTTGTAGATGGCCAAAGGTAGTCCCGTTCGCTCAACGTTGGACTGAAAAGCCATTCAGCTGAGAATCCGAAAATGGTGGAAAGCAAATGCAAATGCAAGCTATTGCTAGAGTACATGAAAAGCCTCCTTAGCAGCGGACACAATATCAACTTGGATCAAATCAAAATTGTCAAGTTCAGATGTCATTTCATGCAACGAGGATTTGAAAGTACTGAACATCGAGTAACGCATATGTCACATACTACCATTCTTTAAATTCGGACAAGGAATATATTGAAAGAGGCGAAATTTTGCCATCATAAAGTGGTTTCAGTATGCACGTCCAGTGCCGCAAAATTTACTGCTGGACGGGACTTGAGACTGGCTAGTAGTGCAGATCAGAGGAGGCTAATACGTTTGAAATAAAAGAAACAGGAGCGTTCTGCATTTGCCAATCCAGAGGATTCCTTAGCAAAGGACGTGACAAAAGCAACGCAGCTTTTGTGAGGGTGAAAAAAAGACAGTGGAACGATCAACCAGCAACAGAAGGAAAAGCACGTACACATATGTGGCCCCGAAACCGTAAATAATAAACAACCTATGCAAAAGGAGTTAGAACTAGCGCTTAGAAGTCGATCAAATTTACAAAACATTTGAGGCCTGATTTTCTACGCTTCGATTTAAGTATGCAATCGTTGCAAACTAATTTGTAAAAATGGCTACTGGAGACCGACAGTGACAGCAGGATAGGCGCAATAAGAACAAAAGCCAGGGATTTCAGCTCGAATGATCCAACGAACCCTGTTCAAATGTTGGGCGAAAGGGAGAAGTCGGAACTTACCACTACCGCCACGATAGTAGGGAAAGGGCGGGGTAGGACGAGCAGCATCGGTTATCCACTCGCTGGGATGAGTCAGCGTCTCGGGCTCTCCGTACTCAGAACTCGCCGCTACATTGCTTCCCTCGCTCGGCATTGAAGATTGTAAGGTCACCGGGAGTGACTGTTGTGGTTGTGCCTCTTGACGCTCCAACTGTTGCTGCGGTTGAGATTGCAGTGATTTTTGCTCTTGTTGTGGTAGAAATTGTTGCTGCAGTGGTGGATAGTCGTTCACACCCAGAGTAGAGGAGGGCTTAGATTTGGGTTTTGGACGCTGAAGAGAGAAGCATTACTTTCGACTTAAAATTTTTGCAAATATAACAGCCAATATGACAATATTACAATCTCACGTGGCCAACGTCATAGTCCCCGTTCGTGTCAACTTCTTCATATGGCTACAGTGAAGCTACCTCCAGACTTGAGAAGGTAACCCAAACTTAAAAAAGCCAATAATCTTCCTTGCAAGCGCTGCAATCCACCTCATTAGTTCCTTAAAAAACACGAATAGTTCAAAACGTAAATGCCGTTCTAATAGAACGGAAATGAATTGTTACTAATGTGCAATAATTCCATCTATTCAACTGGCTTTAATCTACGCTTGATTCCTGCAGCAGAAGGACTATCTACCATTAGCAAACTCAAAGAACTCAAGTAAATTAGGTGAAAAATACAGAAACGACTGCGATTTCCATGCTCATATCGAACATACAATTCATATGGAACGATAATAGTGGGAGAACACATAAGTGCTTGTGTAAGCTGACTGAGCCTAAAAAGTGTACCCTATAAGATAAATGTATTGCCCTTTGAAGAGATTTGAGCTCAACTTCCTTTGAAGGCACTCTTTTTAACTAAACGAGCATACATGAATATGTGGATCTCAAGAGGAGGTCCATTCTGCTAATTAACGTTAATGCATGGAAGATACTTGAATATGTAGTGAATGTAGGCAGTACGCACTGGATTTCACGAATGTCCAATCGCCGGCACGAAGGGAGAGGCGTTATTGGAATAAACAACTTTCCGAGAAAGCAGATGCAGTTGCAAGGCGAAAAATAAAAACTTATGAATAAAACCCTACTTTCAACTAAAATCTAAAAACACTGTCAGAACTTACTTTCTTCTTCGCAACCTTTTTGGCCCCCTTTGCACCACCAGCACCACCACCTCCGACGCCACCAATTCCATCAAAAGCATCCTCCAACATCCCTTTGCGCCAAAGATCAAAGAAGAATAGTGGGTCCGAGTAAAATCGAGCCGTAGTCTTGCCATCATCCCTCAAAGCGTCCATTACGTGTAACGGTGGCGGTGGTTCTGCAGCCTCGTACTGCGCCTGCATACAGCGCGGTTTCGTGCTACGATGGAGCACTTGGCTGTCCAATTCCTGCTCTCGTACACCGGGTGTGGGTGCTGTAAGGTGTTGCAGACCAACAGAGAGAAACTCCTCACTGGTAGGAAGAGATTTGAGGGTAGCTGTAACGCTGCTGACGCGCTCCTCAATGCGGCCCAGACGGGTAGAAATGGCAGACAAATCGGTAATAAGTTCTTCGAAGATCTCCGAAGCGACGGAGGCCACTGAAGCCATTTGGTGCATTAAATTGCACAGCGTCTCATTTGAGACGTATTCAAGCTCATTGTCAATCTTCTCGGGCATATGAACCCGGCTAATGTGTGTAGGTTGGATAGTGTAACGGGGAAGAGGCATTTCATCGGTTTAGTTGACAACCTAGTGCAGGGAACATCCTTAATTAAATGCAGTTCTATGAACATGAGAAATGACTATGAACAAGAAATAAGGGGGTTAGAAATAACCTTGAAATGGATGCCAGATAATCCACAAATTTACCACTTGTCAATCCACTCGGACTTCACAAAACTCGTGATAGAGGGCATATATTCAATAAAATATCACAAAGAAAGAAATATGAAGAACGAAACTAAAAAAACCTGCGTAAAGTAATAATGTAAACAAGAAGGTAGAACAGACCAACGCCACGCTAGCCAAGCGACCTCCTACTATGCACGACCGATTACAATTGGTTAACTTTCAAAGCTGTGGGCACTTGGCGACATTTTTATTCAGCGGGAAAAATTAATGGAACGCATATTGCCAAATTTATTTGATTTGAACAAGATATGTACGATACGGCCGAAGAATTTAGCTGTCATAATATGACTTATTTTTTGCGATAATCCATTCATTTTTGCTAATTTGAATAAAACTTATAAATTAAAAGAAAGCAAAACAAGCGAACTTGGTTTCGTGGGGTTAGCATGCATTTTGATTGATTAAAGGGCAGTAAATACAACAGAGCGAAGCACTAAATTCGGTTATTTGAGAAGACTTTTACCCATGGTTCCGAAATTTGCATCGCAGTGAAACTTCCACGCAAAGATAATTATGTTGTGTGACGAGGTCCAAAGACCATCTGGCTCTGATAACTTCAAATTACTAGTATAAGGCGCACGAATTTGTCGAAAACTTGTAAGCGGACAAAAAACGAAGAATTGAATCTTCACAATTGCCCAAAGGCTGGCACACCCGTCATAGGCAAGACGGTCGCTAAGGTGGTCATCTTAAGTAATTTTCGGAAATAATGCCAGCCATCAACTCGTAATAACGTTTTATAACCCATAAGGTGTTCAGTTTGATGACAAGACATGGCAGTGATGTGGCTAACATGGCAATTTTGGAGCTGTTGCTGGTATTGAATTAAAGATGTTTGGGTCCACACCTCTTCTTCTATCAACGAGCTAATTCCTTTTTTATCTATGCCGCGGTAATTAGGACATGGCCGACTCTGAAACCTACCCTTCGAGAAACATTTTCGTACAAGCTGTCTACTTTAAAATAATAAGTAGCAGAGATTTTGCACAATATAAGATTGATTATTTCCTTCTTAATCATATTTTATTAACTTCTGGCAACGTGGCTTTTAGGTGGTATCTACGACTTAATTATTAAAGTCACTCATCGTTGTCGTCTAGAGTCACAGACTTTTGATTACGAATTTCTAAAGTTTGTAGGCACCACGTTTTGCTATTCGCTTAATTGTGTAGGCCTAAGGCGTATCCTAAGTCAAACCAATAAGCATTTAATATTGACTGCTTTCAAATCCATTCGCCAGTTTGGGAGCATTTTAAAGAAGAAAGACATTTTTCATGCTTTTTATCGCCTATCTCATCAGAATCCTACAATCATCGCTTATTATTTACTTGATGTCGATGCTTTGGTGATTAATATCTAAATCTATCTAGCCTCTTTAAATATATCAGTGAGAGTGTCCTTTACAGCAACACTAAATTCTTGTTTTTGCTATATATTCACCATTGGGCCCGGGGGCTGATTACAGAGTCCTGGCCATTATATCTGAGGTCAAGTTCAGAAAATTTGACATCAACATTAGTCACTATTACGGTGCCAACTGGTCCGATTTAAGTGCACTTGGACCGATGCACTCCGTGAACACTGCACATTTCAGAGGGGAGCGGTTAAAACTGGGAGGATGAGTGCGTCAACTACTTGCCCTAACATGCACAAAACACTGATTCATGTGCACTTTAAGCACGCATTTTAGAATGAAAGGACATAATTTATCCCGTGCTTGTGCCAAAATCGTTCTGGCTTTCTAGCAATAATTTTAGCACCATTTAGGTCACAATGCCCTAATGTCATGAAAGGTAGTAAATAAAAGGCCAATAAACTGATGTTGTTTTGAGGAGAAGCTGAACTTGCAATATCAAAGCAATTTGGTTGCTTTAGGGAGGGGTAAGACGGTCCCAACACGGAACTGTCAGGAGTACCTATACTGGTGTCTAGATTTCAACGCCAACTCCGGTCAGATGTGTTTTCAGTAGTGGCAAAAAGCTGTCACCCATTTTCAATTTCTACATTCTTGGGTTCTGCAGGTGAAAAATTGGAATCATCTCGAATTGTAATTGTAATTGTATCGGGAATAGTTTGAGAATACGGATGAGGAGCAAAAAAATTAGGAGGGTGTATGCCTGCAAATGACTGTGCGTTCGACATTCTTCACGTACTTGAAATACCTAAAGACAAACAAAATTTAAATAGCTTCAACAGTTTTTGTATGAGGCTTAATGCACCAAGTTGTCTGCGTGCTGAGAAGCCATTGAAATAGGACTGATGCTAGCCATGGGATAGCACTTAACAATAGCCTCCTCTCGCAAATGTGAATTTTCTGCATCTTGAACAAAATGCCTAATCGCCAATTCCAGTCCACAATTTTTACTTATCGAATTTCCTTGTAGAGACTGTGGAACTCCCTTCCTAGTATAAGACCTCGAGCCAATTACTACTTTGATGGACACATTTGAGGGAGCGCAAGGCGCCATCCCCTTATCCCCAGCCTCGCCCCATCATCGCCTCTCCCTTCCGGATGCACTGCCCCATGTTTAGCATCTGCGGCAGCTCTAATTAGGCCGTTTACTGCATCTACATGCTCCAATGCCTGACGCAAGGCCAACACTGACAAAATCAACAATCCGTTTCGCACCACAGACAGCAGATAGAAAATTGTTTTAAGTGCTTTAGAATTTTACAAACTCGCTCTACGGTGGTAAGAGAAGAAATCACACAAAGGTGATACGGTTTAGGGCAAGTGGTAAAAAACACTTAAACTCAGTTTTGCTCACTTTGCCCTTGCCTAGTGACTGTGAGTTCACTAGATACTGTATTATCGCAGCTGCTTTGTTATTTATTTTCTGTTCACCCCCTTCGGACACTTAGTCTAGGGCGTAAATAATTCATACATTGAAACTATCGGTGGTTCGCATTCGCCTTAAATGTTTCATCGCTTCTATATTCTGATAGTCAAAAGATGAGCAAATTAAAACCTTTCATCGCAAAGGCACAAGATTATGCTGCGGTTTATCTTTGGGGCAGGGAAGGTGTTAAATTCGATAACTAATGACGCATGACATAAAGGGTATCTTCTAGTAGGTCTTGGAAAGAGTCCAGTACTGAGGCAAATTTTAAGGTTGAAGTACTTTTAAAATTTCCTTCATTGAAGATGGTCCAACTTTCTGTTATGGGTAGAAGGTTCTTCTTTGTGATGATTTTGTGGTGTATCAATTCTCCAAATTCGGATGTCCAAATTCTTGCCGTTTAGGTCTAGTTCAAAATAATGTAGGGCAAAACCTTGAGCACATGTGCGAAAATGCAAGAAATTGATTGGTTAAGCGTCAAGGTCGCCTTTAAAGGCAGTCGCATTGTTTTTGTCGCCTAGCTGCCACCCACGCAGACATTGATTGAAGTTCGAGACACATTGGAAAGTGCCTGTGCAAGGTGTCCAGGTTGGTGTCTATGTTTCACCCCCCAAGGATCTTAAACCCACACAAAAGGCCGCAACATCCAAATAACTTGTCGGAAGCTGATATGATGAGTCACAGCAGCCTTCAAAAACGGTGCCGCAGTTATTGGTTTTCGCATTTAATGGTCATCCATTTCTTCCATTTTCTTTATAATTAGCACTTAAAATTCCTCTAGATTAGGCGTGGAGTGAAAGTGGGGAAGTAAGAGAAGGCAAGTAGCTGCGTTTATCTCCCTATGCGCATAATAGGTTAATGAGAGATGACGAATATTTTGAGAAATGTATGTTAAATAGGTCTCAAAGAAGATAGAAGCTTTGGCCACCATCACACCGTACTTCCACTTATAGCATAAATCCGACAGTAGCGAAATGCAAACTCAATGTTACTGATCCTGTGCAAAGAAAGAGCCTTAAATCCAATTATCATCAAGCATTGCAGCAGGGCGACATCATTGACTTACCTTTAATTACACAATAAAATGTTCTGACCGAACGTTTACAGTACGTTTTTAAGATCTTCCGCGCAGCGCAAGATTCCATGCATAAATAATCTTGAGGTTGAGGCAACCCTGCGTACCACCGCTTGATACTTATGATTGTTTGCATAATGAAAGAGGTTAGCAACAGGAACAACCCATACACAAAAGATGGGAAAACGAAACAAACAGATGGGATCGCATGGATTAAGTGGGATATCGTGATGGCAACAAACTTCTCACCTGTGAGTGGTTATTCTCTATGTTCTTAAAATTTTATGAGCACAAAATATTGTTGTGTTAGTTAGGAAATTGCGATTCTTTGGCAGAGAGCTTCGGTCAACTGACTTGTTTTGCCGATCCTTCAGTTTTGTGCACTCTGTTGCCTTTGGCGGACCTTAAGGCCAAATTTCGGTAGCGTCGTAAAAAGACCGAGGCTCATCAGCCTCTCTGCTACACATACTTTGAAGGAAAATTTACGACCGGTGGAAGTTGATGGCATTAGCAACCGATAGTTAAGCATATTGAAGTGCCTGATTTAATGGAAGAACCGATTCTACATTAGGGAAGTAAACGTCACGAAATGTACGTTGAACATACCCTATAAAATAAATTTTCCGAAGTACGTTTTAAAACCAAATAGCTATAACACATTAACTTTGAAGTAACCTATTGCAAATCCCAAATCCTGTAAAACCATCAATAACGTATTGCTAAGGGATAAAGCTAGGATAGAACCTTAAGCCTATGGTCGAAAATTCTACTTTCGTGCAATTTTTTTATTGATGTGCTGGAACAAGAATTCCACTTGACACCTTTCCCAACGAGGCTCAAAAGGATATTCAGTTGCTGCTGTTGTTACCTTCAATTTGAACTACTTGTTTAGGGATGGCATC